AGAACACTACTGCCCACCTGCAATAAACATATAGCATGAATAGGAAATAAATCTTCCTTGTTTTAAACCAATGAGATTGTAAGGTTATCTGCTAGCTTAGCATAACCCAGCTTCTTCTCACTGATGTAAGAGCTGACAGATGAGAGATTAAAAAATAGATTTATGTCAAATCAAGGTCACCTATAATAAAACAGAAAATGTAATACAAAACCACTTAGGACTTCCTTGAGTCTTAGGGTTCTCTATTTTCATTCAGTAATTGTCTAGTATTTGGAAATTGTTTCAATGTAGGTTTCTACATATCTGATATGGTATATAAATTATATTATTCTATTCCACCAATCTCATTCTTTCATTCATTCAGATAACATTTATTGAACAGTAAATATGTGCCAAGTATTATTTGGGATAACTTCCACTTCATACTGTTTTTGAGACCTTTCTTGTGATGCTTTCAGATAGAAAAAAAAAAAAGAGTTCACTTTAATATCTAAAAAGCAAGATGTTTAAGAAATGAAGTTTCATGGTGTTTTTTTTAAACTTTCCATTGCAAATGATTTCACATAAGTGGTCAGGAATTTCCCACCTTTATCACTCCTGCTTTCTCACTTGTAAAAAACATGGATGATTTTGTAGACTTCCGCACAGAGCACAGGCTGAGCAATGGCACTGGAGGCGGACTGTTGAGGTTTACACTGTGCTTCATAATTGGATGGATGGGTGATTTCAGGCAAGTGACTTAACCTCCCTCCCTGTGCCTTATTTTTCTCAGCTGTAAAATGGTAATTGCAATAGTGCCTAACTCATAGGGCTGCTGTGAACAGTAAGTAATGCAATGCATGAAGGACTTAGAACAGTACCCGGCCCAAATTGAGTGTTCAAGGAACATCCGTTTTAATGTTTTAAAGGAATATTCTAGCAAGTGATGAATAAAGTGCTGGAGCTGGACTACAGCATGCCAGCTTTATTCACCATTTCATCCTAAATGTCTAGGTCAGTGCTGGGCATAAAGCAGGTATTTAAAACAACATCTACTGAACACATATAGGAATGAGCTGGGGTGAGGGGACTGAGTCCGGGTTGTCCTCCTAACCTCACCACTACCCACTGCCCGTCTCACACACCGCCCAGCTGCAAGAACTCGGAACAGTCACTGTCCTAGATCTCTGTCCCCTTTGGTCAAGTGGAAGAATGACACCAGAGAGCTACAAACTAGGATCAATATTCTGAATCTACCTCACTTTTCAGAAAAAGGATTATAAAGACCTTGCGGCATAATTTAAAAATACTTAAAATATACTTAAAAATAATCAACAATATGGAGACTCTACAAAGTTGCTCTATTACAGTTTTAACATTTTAAAAAAAATAATGGAGCTGGTTTGCTTCATCAAAAAAGGCAGTACAACTCACTGGCACCGATGGCATTACTCAGAGGTGCACTAGCTTTCCCTAAGAGCTCTGAGGAGAGGGAAGGGAGAGGAAGCTGGATTGAGTCACTAATGTACAAACTTGCAACTTGAAGGATAAATTCTGGAGATCTGACAGTGATTATAGTCGACAAGACTGTGTTATATATCGCAAAATTTCTAAGAGACTAGATCTTTAATGCTTCCAACACAAAGAAGAGATGATGTGAGAGAGGTCTGAGCTAAAGCTAGGGTGGTAATTAATCATGTGGCGATATATGAATGTTATCAAATTAACACACTGTACATGTTAAACTTATACAATGTTATATGTAAATTATATCTCAATAAAAACAGAAAATAAGAGTAATTAATGGTCTTGTAGTCAGATACTTCTTGGTTTTTCAATACATATGTGCTTGTATGTGAAGGAGAAAAATTTGACTAACAGGCAACGTAGTTAAGTGACTGAGGCTTTCAGAGCCTCAGTTTCTCTACCCAGCAGAAGGGACAATAATACCTACTCCTCTGGGGCTGTCATGAGCATTACATAAAACAACCTGGCAAAGGACCAAGTAAGGAACACACGTTCAATAAACAGTAGCAATTAATAGCATAATAATCATAATTGCAAATATTTACAAGAAAACCACTTCCTTACCAATGTGAACAGCATTGAAAGTAATTCTCCCAGCTGATATTAAACAGTGTGTCAATTGGTTTTATGATATGGGTTTTGTATAAGCTAATGGAGCACCTAGAAGAGACAACAGGCAAAGAAATGCACGCCTGCTAGGCAACCCTTTCTGTGAAGTGCTAGATGGTGACTTGGGGGAAAATTAATGTTTACACTTGGAGAAACTGTTGGGTCAGAAAACAAGAACATGGAAAGGTAGCCTAAAATAATGGTGAAATGACTACCCAGCTGTGCAACTCTACTTAATTTCTCTATGTCCCGCTTTCTCCACCTGGGAAAAATGGAGAACAAGGCTTAGCACAGGCTTAGAACAATGCCTGGCATACAGTAAGTGTTTGTTAATAAACCAGAGTGGCGACGAGAATGGTTGAAGTTACACAGACTGGCCTGTTAGGAAACGTCTGGAGTGAAGCCTGGCAAGGTGGCTTCTAGGAGCACAGCCTGGAAAGCTATCAGGCTCATTCATCTGTATAGCTTGGGCTCTTCCCATGGTGCAAGGTGAAGTGCTGTAGCCACAAAGAGAGTCAATTCACATTTGAAATGACAGAGATGGACCAGAGGGTAAGGCAGAAAGGAGCCCCAGTGGGAAGACGCATGTCCACGGATATGATGCCCCTGTCTATGGGCTCCGGCGCACTCAATAATTACTTCCCAGCATCCTAGGTACCTTCAACTATATGTCTCCCTAAAGCAGAGGTCCCTGAGGATGGAGACCGAGTCCTGCTTGCCGTGGAATTCCCCTTCCACAGTGCTCAGCAAATATGAGTTGAAGTGAAGCCAAAGTGAGTGATAAGATTGGGCCTGTATTACTAAGCGCTCAGTACTTGTGCCCCTAACTGCACCCCACCTCACTTTCAACCCTCAAACTGCATTGATAGCTCAATGGTGATGCCAAGAACACGGCCCTTTGAGTAAAATCTTGGTCTTGTTTGTGGTGGTGGCCTACCCCACTCCATAGTAGAACTGGCCCTAAGCCTTCTGCCGAGGGACATCCTCCAGCCACCTTCCTCAGTCTGCGCACAAACACCTCGAAACTGGCACAAACAAAACTGACCTCAGCAGTTCTGCAAATGAGCTGACTGTTTCTCCCTTCTTTCTTTACAGCCATCCATCAACCAAATTCTCTTCTGTGTTTTCCTTGAGTATATCTCTCTAGTCAGCGCACTCACGCAGCTCTCAGCCACTGCCTCACAGAATCACAGGGGGACGACCACTGGAGGGTCTCACTGCGATTCTGCCTGCAGAGCACTACAGGACAGACTTTCCTGAAACACAGCTTCCATCATATTTCTTTGCTGTTCACATCGAGGCTCCTCATTTTTTACCTTTACTTAATTCACTTTCGTTGTCAAGGCCTTCCCTACGTTGGCCTTACCCTACGTATGTAAGGTACATATTACTAATTATTCAGATCCGCACGCTGAATCTCCTATTCCACTTAGATCAGTGATCTCACAGCACTAGCCACTGAAGTTGCTCTCATTCAAATACACTATCTAAAACGTTGCTTCTATATGCTCTGCCCATGTCGTTCCTGCTTTTGGAATACTCTAAATCTAACATTCCACTCTAAACCACCTATGTCAGTACTGACAAATAATTATATTATTTTGCACTTCATTCTCTGTTTGCTGTGCTACATACAAATGTTTCTTCTTCAACAAAACTATAAGTTGCTTGAGGGCAGGAAGTTTACATTATTTGTACCCATTTATCCAACATATATTCACTAGGTTCCAGAACTGTGCCAGGCACTGCACTTGGTTTTGGGGTACAGCAAAGAACAAGAAAGACATAATCCTGGTCCTTGAAGCACCTACATTCTAGTGTGTGTGTGTGTGGGGGGGGTGAGATAAAAAATTATACATAATTAGAAGCTTAGAAACGGAGACAAACACAGTGAAGTAAAAGTATGGGGTGCTATGAGACCATGGTGAAGCTTCATATTAAAAGAAACTGCCCCTGAGCTAAGATCAAAAGGATAAAATAGAAACAAAGAGACAAATGTCCAAAGGTCTAAGGAAGCCTGGGGCCTGAGAGGAACTGAAGAAAGGCTGGTATCTGTAAGCCCAGAGGGCAGAAGATGAGCCCTATCAGACGAGGCTTGGGAGGTACAGGCTGGGTACAGTTCCTAGCTCTGAACCAAATCAAGAAGCACCCGCTAAGTGAGGGTAAACTTTAAGTGGTCTTTAAGAATCACAATGCACTATGGTAAAGGTCATTTCCGAATTTTCTTGTCTGTGTCTTTGGAGTTAAACAAACAAACAAACACAAAAAAGCGCCGAACATCCAAAGCTTAATTAATATGNTCTGTGTCTTTGGAGTTAAACAAACAAACACAAAAAAGCGCCGAACATCCAAAGCTTAATTAATATGAACACTTCAGTGCTTAGGATTTTTGCTAGTTTTTTTTCAAGTTCAACAGAGATGGGCCAATGAAAAAATAATATGGGCTGTGGTCTACTCTACATAACAAGTGTGACACCAACAGGCTTTACACAGCCACCTGACAGACGGTCATGCATTTCACCCATTGCCGCTGTGAGGAGGATTTAAGCCAATGACCTCAGAGGTGAGGGGTTGTACATCCAATTACAAATTTCCACTCCCCTTAAGTGTTAAGATGCCTACAGCAATATATTGTATTTACATCTAGATGTACTGTATAAACTATATTTGATAAAAGAGATGACTTCACATTCTCAACTTAAGTCAAAGAATGCTTACTTAAGTATTTTTTTTAATTGAATCCCACTTTAATGCCATCGTATAATCTTTGGGTTAACAGTGCTCATCTTGATTATTCTAACAAAGGGAAACATGGAAATTAATACTTAAGTTGTAGAGCTTATGCCATCTGTAAAAATACACACAAGAAAATTCAAAATAGGTACCTGGGACGTCTGTGAAGGTTTCCCCAAGGACGGATACGTGGAAATTGAGTCCTAAGTCCTTAAGGTGCATTAATACCTTAAAAAAACTCTCTGGATCTTTATCGTGCTCCCTGGAAATAAACACACAAAATATAACTTGTGATACCTTAGGGTGTATGTTAGGAAAAGTGTTTTCACTTCTCACAGTATCAATTCCTTTCATGGTCTATTGTTAGGAGAGCCTCTGGCATCCAAGCAGAGATTTCCCCTATCACCTTATATTGTAGCATCAGCATTGAGTTTTTTCATAAATATAATTTCACTGTCATATACAAACCTTCAGTCCTACTGAAGTCTTAAGGGTCTGCAGCCTTTATTAAAGGAGAAATCTATCATGTTTTCACATTTTTTGGATAGGTTATAGAAAGGCTAGTGTAGTTTTCTTTCCCTTAAAACAGTTAATTTTCCACTTAACCCAGGGTTGTGTGTTTTTTTGGTTTTTAAGTGTCTTTATTGATTTCAGAGAGAGGGAAGGAGAGGGAGAGAGAGCTGAAGCATCAATGGTGAGAGAGTTGGCACCGATCGGCTGCCTCCTGCACGCCCCGACTGGAGATGGAGCCCGCAGCCAGGGCATGTGCCCCGACCGGGAACCGAACCGGATTCTCCTCAATCCTAGGTTGATGCTCAACTGCTGAGCCACGCCCGGCTGGGCTAACCCAGGTTTTTAACAAAAGAAAAGACTAGTCTTCTACTAGTCTCTACTGATCGTGAGAAAGTACCAAAGATGCTTTTCTTTTCCAGGAGTGTGAATACCTTCCTCTCACATTTACTTAGCCCCTTTGTGCCCACAAGGAACACACAGTTTAGGAAGTGAGATTACAGACTCTCTCACTAATCTCTCATTTTAAATAATTGAGTGGAGAATTATAAATACATCAAAAGGGGTTAGGCATGAGTCTAAATCCACTGAGTATTAACTTAGGAGTGGAGGTTAGTACTAAAGATAATTCTTTCATTTCATAGAGGCTTTGAAAAACATGAGTTATTTTTGTTTGTTTAGCTTGTCAGTCTTCTTTGTAATGACAGAATGAGAGACTAAAGGACACTAAAATAAAATTAAAAATTCACCAATTCAAGAAATCACATTAAAATGGAGTGAGTTATTTTTTACATTTTAAGGTGTGAATATTCTAGTATTTCTTGCATTTAATTATACTGTTTTAAATTATCTAATTTCAGACAGATGTGGACCAGATGTCTTCAAAATACTTGTTTTTTTGTTTGTAATTCAGAATTTTAACTTATTTTCTATATTACAGAGAACTAGTTATATATCAGCAATTGAATTTCTCATTTACCAACTAATTATGTAAAAATAAATCTGTAAATTGATCAAACTGCGATATAAAATATGAAAATTACATCATTCACAAAATCTTATGAAAAATGGCATCTGCAACCCTAAATATGTTAATTCACAATTCAGTCAATATTTTCAGTATCAAGAATTAAAACAAATGCATCTTCTGATTAACATTCTAAAATGGTATTTCTAATCTCATGGAATTGTAAATTCTTACAGAATTAGATATCAGTAACAATGTGTTTTAAGCGCTCTCTGTTTGATTTACTTCAAATAATAAAGAATGCAATGGCAAAGCGCTCTTCCCTTTTGAAGACGGTGCGGATTACATACATGTACCATGGGGGAGTTTCTGGATAGCTCTCATCTACACTACTGCTGTGGGCAAGAACAAAGACCCAACACAGTTTGAAAGTAAAGAGTACGCCGCATGCTATCTCCAACCATATCAATCAAGTAGCTGCCACTTAATCTGTAATATGTTCTTTTAGTCTGATTCTCTTGGAAATACTTAGATGAAAAGAGTGGAAACAATATAACACAATATATCTTAAAGAGGGAGTAACACTATAGGGAAATTTAGCCACTCAGTTCTCTAAATTTTTCATGTTGTGTTCCAAAAATTTTGGCTATGGATCCCCAAGAGAATATCTATTCTAAATATTTCCTGCTGTTTTGTTTGTTTGTTTGTTTTGTATTAAAGTAGCTGTGGCTTGGGGTTGGGAGGCGGTTTAATCGGGCAGAAGCTGTAGTTCTTAAAAGATTCCAATGTGCTCTCAAAGCAGCGGACTTTATGAACCTATATTTTCAGCGTTTCTATATGAGATAAATGCATTACAATCCTACTGTATTTTTAAGACATTTTTTATTGGTGAACAAAAGCTTTCATATTCAAGTCACTCTGCATACGAACACAAAAGAGATTTGTATGAATCTCCTCTTTTTGTTTAAACTATAATATATGGACGAATGTTCTTTCCCAAGATCATCCCTGAGAAAAAGAGGCATGTTATACAAAAGTCCTTATAAAGTTTCTCATAATCCTAGGCACTCTCTCAACTACGTTATTTTGCTAATGGAAGTGGCATTAACCTGAATCCGTGGCCGCCGATGAGAGTGCGGATGGTTGTGGCAGTGAATCACTGGCAAAAAGGAAGCAAAGGAACTCAGGACAGTGCTGGGTTAGGAATCGTTTTGGGGGACATGACCTAACAATTCAAAGAGTCGGATGCTGACAACAAGTAACTGGTGGAGGTGGGCAAAGCGGGAGGAGGGAGGGGGACACCTGCAATAATGTCAACATTAACCATTTTTAATAGAAAAGAAAGAAAGAGTGGTTACTGAAGACCGTGAGTAGTAAGTGGGTTTTTACAGTTCAGGAGATTTCCAGTGATGGCATCATACACAATTTCACAAGTCCTGCACCTCACACCACTCAGACTGACTTCCCGATGCCAGGTGACTGAAACGTGCCTGCTGCCTGAAAAGGTGGCACCTTTCTGACATCAAGAAGCCACTGGAGGGGGAGTTGGATTAAAATTGCTGGATGAACTATAAGGGTGGGAAAAGAGCAGTACTTCTAAAAATATTCTGCATGATATGTGCTCTCAAGTATTATTTATGGCTAAATTAGGGGATTACATAACATAAGTAGACACCCGACGATTTCTTCTATGTCCCATAGTCAAACTAGCTGAAAGTTTTTCTCTTTAGAAAAGTGGCAAATAGCCTAACATTCAGACAATTGTAAAGACACACACAAATATTCAGCCACAGCCACACAACCAGGCATGGATATAGCAGCGGGAGAGCTCAGTATTTTTTTGTCCAGCAAGGAACTCATTCCAGATATTCAACAGATCATCCATAGATCTTATGCCAGCACCCATGATATTAATGAACCCATTTAGCAGAACATGTGAATCTGTCTTAATGTCCTAAGAAGTCTAATGTGAGGGTTCCATACCTATGATTTTAGCACAAAGCATTAAGTACAAGATGAGGGACTTAAAATATATTGAGTGACCCTGTCTGCCAATAGCTGTCAAGATTAAACAGACATTCATAATATATTCAATTCTCTATAAACACTTCGTAGACTTACAGGCCCCCGAAACACTCCTGTTCTCATCTATTGCTGGTAGGAATGTAAACTGAAACACTATTTTAGAGGGCAATTTGGTAATGTACATAATTAAGCCTTAAATGTATATAATGTAATTCCAAATTAGAAAAGTTACCCTATAAATTAATTAAAGAGGTGCACAGAAATTCAGTCAGAGTACATTCATAACAGCATTGTTTATAATGGTGACCATCTCTAAACGACCTAATGAGATGATAAAAAAATATTTTTTGATGCATACCTATGATGCAATACCATAGAGCCATTAAAAATTATGTTGTAGAAGTATATTTCTTGACATGGAAAGATATTTAAGAAATACTGTTAAGTAAAAGGGAAACGACAGAGTAGTATTTATTATATGCTCTGTTTCGTAAGACAAATGAATGTGTGTGCCTAGAAAAAAATTAGGGATGAACTATACCAAAATATTAACAGGGTTTATCTCTAGGGGTTGCACATAAATATGTCTTTTTTCAATACTTTTTATCATTTTTAACAAATTTTTAAAAATATAAATCATTTTAATGTTTTAAGAAACCACCTCTCTCTAACACTCTGCCATAAAAGGGTATTCGCAGGATTTTTGCTTAATTCTGTAACATTTTCAGTGTTTATAGCAGCATAATTCCTCATTTCCTGTGACCCCCCCCCCC